TTGGATTGGGTTGGATTGGGTTGGATTGGATTGGATTGGATTGGGTTGGATTGGATTGGATTGGATTGGTGGATGTATAGATGTATAGATGTATAGATGTATAGATGTATAGATGTATAGATGTAGATAAAAAACTGTTACACACACACATACATATACGTATATATACATTCGTGTGTCTGTGTGTGCGTGTAAGCACTGCATGTAGAGCATGCAACCCTTCTAAGGCGTCCTGACAGACCTGGGAATTCCCCTGGAGAGCTTCCATGAGGGCCAAGGCTTGGCCAAACTCTTCGCTGCGCCAGTGCCATCCGCATCCGCGCTGTGCTGCTGAGAGGCGACGCAATTTTCACCAGTGCAGTGGAGTATTTACGCCAGAGGGTTTCTTCATCGCATCGGAAACTGTGGGGCTGCTTGGTTGAAGTTGTTTTGTTGGCAATCGATCTTTGTTGAGTGTTCTGAATACTTTTCTAGTGATAGATAGTGCGCACACACACACACATTCCCTCAACAATGTGCCAGAAATGTTTCCTTGCTGAAATTAATCAGCAAATGAAGCCTTCCTTCCCTCACTGGCCTTTGGTTCAATTCCTGGTGTATTCAAACCCTGAGTCAACACACGGAGCAGCTGGAGATTTAAAATAAAAGCAGATGTTGGGTTTCTGCCGCTTCCTTGTCACAGGCTGAAGGCAGGCTCAGCCCACCCACAACTGTCAGCACATCGAGTAGCTCGCTTGCAGGGTGTGTATAGACATGAAAGTCCGATAGCGGATATGCGGCTACATTTTGATGTGCGTGCTGTGTGCCAGCATTTTTGCTCTTGGATGGCACATTAGATGATCCTGCCCGTGTCGTGTCATCATAGGTGTTGGTTCACAGCTTCGCGTGGCACACCAGATTTACAGCATCGAAACAGTCCAAGGCGAAGTTCCACAGCACCTTGGTGGCCGAGTGCTGTCGACTGGTGGGTGAGGCTGCAAGATGCTCCCAGAAAATCGTGGCAGAGACATGCACAAACCAGTGAATCCATTGTAACTGCTTTGTAACTGCTTTGTAACGGCATTTCTCTGGGACAGGACAAAGTGATCCTCAACAGTCGCTTTGTGCAGCTGGAAAGGCATGAGGCCCCTGCTGATTGGAAGCCCTATCAAGAGATATCAAGAGGTTTAGCCGAGATATAGGTGTTCCCGCAACTATAGGACTAGGCATGGTGGCATGCTCCACCAACGGCACTGAATAGTCAACCCAAGATAACTCAAGAATTTTGAGGCATTTGCAAGCCTCAGACCTCAGATCTATGTATCACCCGGGGGTGCGGAACAGGTTGAGGATGCCAGCGTTTGTATTTCCAATCGTCCCAGAGGACCATGTGGTTCTGCACTTCGAGAACAGCACCACGAAAAAATCGATGGCACCAGCACTTCAGCTGCAGAATTTGGGCCAAGGAACAGACGACAGGTCTAGTGACAGTGAGTGCCAACTGTTGGATGTGTGCCAGCGCTATCCTCCCCTAGATTTTGAGGTGAGAGGAAAGGAACCCAAAAGATCTTCAAAGTTTTGTTTCAAAACCTCATCCAACATCCATCCCCAAGTCCCAGGTCTTCCGGTAAAAGCCTGGATGTTCATTCAAAAATCGGGGGAACGTGAGAAAAGTCACGGAAAAAAAACAGGTCACCTGCCACTTCGTGGTGGGTGCTGATGGCCTTAAGAGCCGCCTCCGTGGCGCCTTGTTGGGCGATGGAGATCCAAGGCCATGGCCTGAGGAATTCATCAATTGAGTGGGAGAAACCATGGATGAATTACGGATGGGGTATCCTAGTCTTATCCTAGTTTCACATGTGTTTCTCGTATTTTTATATGTGTTTGTCCTATTTTCAGAGAAATCTTGAACAGATCTAGTAGCAGCCCTTCGTATATACTTCTCTGATTTTTCTTGGATCCCAAGTCCCAATTGCCAATCTCCCAATGATTCAAATTCAAGGCCTGGTGAATCTGTAACTGGTGTGAGTGTACACGTATCATCACGTATCTTCTATGCCAAGGGCATACGTTCAATCTCAATCAATATCTGGCGTTCTATGGCATTGTGGCATTGCAGTCACTCTTGTGGTTTCTGCAGGCTGGGGTCTAAACCGATCAAAATTTCAACAAAAGGTCGTTGTCCAATGGTGACTCGGTAACTCCTGGAGCAGCAGAATCTGAATACTGGTCCAACAATTCTGCATGGAGTGCGTCCCTACGGCCCTACCACTGTGTATTGGGCATATATCTAAGAGGCAGCAGTTCTCCTATGGTTATACGGCTAAGCCATTCTCCTCAATGATCTTAATGATTGAGAATGAAGTCCTGCTGCCAGTGTCACCTGGTCTGACTGAAAAGGCCTCATGAACGACCAACGAGGGGATGAAGATGGATGAAGTATGATGATAGTGAATGACATGCGATAAATGCGTCAGAAGGGGATACTGAACCTGTCAGGGAACACTGAAGGAATCACTTTTGATCAGCCTCTCAATCCCGTTGTGTCTTGTCTCGGCGCGCACTGCCGTGGAGCCGCTTCAGATGACCCGGTGTTGGAAGGTGCTGATTCCAGCCACTGTGGCAATGGTGCTGCTGGTTCTTTGCCATCAAGTCTTCCAACAATTTTCAAAAAGCATTAGTTAAGGTTCCACAAGTTTGTGGATGGTTTCTGTTTTGATAGATTCTGATAGATTAAAAATGATTAAAAGCTCAACGTTCTCAGTCGCATGTGGTGCCTGGTCATGGTCGATTGGCCATGATCTCCCACGATCTCCCAACCAAGGTTTGCGCAGTACCTGGCCAACAGCTCTGGATCGATCGGCAGCAAGTCCAACTGGCAAAGGCCTCCAGAGACACGTTGCAGAGATCGCCCAATGAGACTCTGGACACCTCGGAGACTGGGCAGGAAGGGGTCACAGTGGCTGCAGAGCTTGTGGAGCTGCCAACCGCTACACCTGCGATGCTGACCTCACCCGCGATGCGATTGGGAACCTCTACGGTTGCGACCACGCAGACAGGGGGAACCACAGAGGAAACCACAGAGGGAACCACAGTGCCAAGGATGTCGTTGCCATTGGTACCATCACTGCGTTTGGGACAAACTCGGAAAGCTTCTCGGTCCTAGGCAATGGGAGCAATATTTATTTTGAAATGCTCTAAACCCCAACAAAGAAAAGTTCTGGGTATTGCAGACCAGTGCGGTACTTTGTGCCCTCTTACTAAAGCAGTCTTTGGATTTCTGGAGGGACATAGAGCGACCAAATGTATCCAAATCTTACGGTAGATGATTAAATCCGTCTTGGAACTTCCTCGGTCGAAAGAAGTAGACCACCCCATTGGCACAAAAGGGTTAATTCTTGAGTTCTTAAGTCTCCACCGCTATGTGAAACGAGGTATTATCTATGATTGTTCAATGGGCCTTTTCGGTAATAGGCTCTTTAGTTTTGATCGCAACTTTCGAGCATCGTTGCAACTAAGACTCCTTTTTCCGCTGTACGTTGAATGTGTTCAACACTTATTGTATAGTTGCAAAATCCAATCGCAGCACAGCACGCCGAGGAACTCAAATTCATCCACATTACCAAAACTGCAGGCACTGCAATCGAAGATTGGGCCAAAGCCCACGGCCTCCTGGCATGCGCAGCAACTCGCTTTGCCAGGGTATAATAACACCATTTGCCACGCTTTGCCATCACGCAATCTCACTCAACTTCATGCATTTGGTGCGTGTGACGTGTTGGACAAGGGTCAGAAATGGGTTCTCGTCGAATGTTTCCCATGCATTCCCATGCATTGGTCCAGAGATGTCCAGTGAGGCTTACACTGGGGACGATTCCACTCTGAGTATCGAGCGCCTAGTCGACCTGGCGCCCCCTGGCATCATCCCTTTCCAACGCTTCCATCGAGTTTACGACATCGATGCTTGGCCAAACACCTTGGATCACGGCAGGTCCTTTGCAGGTCGTAAGAGGTCTCCTGTGAAGCTCAGCGGGAAACAAGAGTAGACATTCCAAATCCTAGTAACTGCAAGGTTCCCGTTGTTCCAGATTCGAGTTCTAGATGTTCTAGTTTGTTTTTGACATTTTGAACGATTTTTTGAATGATGATGACCGTTGTCTCGGCGCAAATCGCCAAAGCGATAGTTGGAGTGGTAGCTGCTTTGAAATCAGTGTGTGCTAGTGTGACACTGTGACAACAGGCTTCACCAATTTTGCAGGCTATGATTGGTTTACGGTTGTGCGGGACCCTGTGGAACGCGTCGTCTCCGAATACTACTGCCCGCACACTGGCACAACGACTCCAAAAACAGACACCGAAGCAGCTCTTCAATGGCTTGGCATTTTCTTTTTAGATGTTTCCTCCAATTGGTAGCATTTCCTATGATACTCGTAGTGGGGGAAAACATGTTCATCGATTTTCTAGCCCCAGTCTATATTGAGGATGCATTCAACAAGTTCGTGCAGCTTCGGAAGCAATATGAGGACATTGTTTGTCGAACTGGGGTTCGAAACCCTGGATGCTAGTCGAAATTGCAAATCAGTCGCTGTCAGACATGCATGGCAAAAGCATCAACTGTTCTGACAGGGTCAGATGCAACCACTATCAACCACTTGTTTGGCCGCCAAAGGTGGATCTGCATATTGCAACCCCCATTTTCCCATGGTTTTCCTATGGATTTTCCCATTTATGTTTTGTCCATCTTGCGATCTGCCGGTTGAGGCAAAGCTCTCTAGATGGCAGCAGATTGCTTAAACCTGGCAGTTTCCAAGCCATGTCTGAAGCCTGCCAGCAATGCGGAGGGAGCGTGCTGCACCAAAAGCTGATGGAAAGATAGATCTAGCTTACATATGCTTACATCCAGAACGAAATACCATATACACGTAGTTCCAGCACAGAACATGCATCCATTCATCCAAATTGATATTCAATATCATGTCGGCATGCGGGATGAGAGAGATGTATCCCGGTGCGCATGCAAGCGGATCCATGTCAACGCACACGGTAGAGCATTTGCAGCGGTGCAAAAGTAGGTCACTATTGTCACTGGTTGCTCATGCAGGTGCATACCCATGCCTGCAGGCGTTTACAGACTTTAATAGTGACGTGCATTGAGCAAGACTCAGACACACTCAGACTACAAACGAATTTTAGAATCAGAATCTGACTCTGCGATATCTGGGATGATTCCTTGGCTGATCCTGTTTCATTTGTTGAGGATTACCTGGACCCCAGCAGTGTGCAACACGTCTTGCACTTTGAGACCCTGGGCCTGGAGCTGGTGAGGCTATTGCGGGCATATGGCATCAGCTTCAAGGGTATGCCGCGAAAGAATGTAGCAACCTGGGCTGCACCGGCTGCAGCGATGGTTTTTGGAGATGATTCCTTGAAGACCTGATGTTTAGAAGTCTCTTAAATTTTAAATCGATTAAAATCGCGCATTTCACCACCCAATGGCTGCACAGTTCACAGGTTCCTCCCTTGATGTCTATTGGGCTCAGCTGATTGCAGGCAAAGGGCCAGAAGTTCAACAGCAGCAATTTGTGGCCAACGACCTTGAAAATGATCCGGGCGAAATATGCGGCTGACTTTGAGAACTTCAACTACACCTGTCAAAGGTGCCCCGACTGAGCTGGAGAAGGGCCAACTCGTGCCAGCCTAATGACTTATCATGACCATCTGGTTTGACTGCATGCATACTAAAATTCAATATATCATAATCATTCATAATATATTTAAATGCTTATATCATAACATAATAGCATATTATAACAACATGTAAGAATGTGTTTTCGAATATACCACTCACAGACTCACGTGCAACTGTTGCCTTTGACCATCCTACTCGGCATGCCTCTGCCTGGGTGGCAGTGGTGGGGCGAGAGATGGCGAGAGTGGTGGTCGGGATACTATGTGGCACCAAGCATGGCGAATTCATTGAACCGGGGGCTGTTTTCTTGGAACCGGCATTCTTCACTACCTTCTGAGAGCTTTCCTGAGCCGAGCCCATTTTTGATCTTTTAAATTCCTTTTTTCTGACCTACGCCCTGGCATGATTTTGTTGCCTTTAGGGTGCCATGGTCCCTGGGTTGTCTTTCCACTACAAGGATTGGCTCCCAGATTTTTCCTCTTGATCTGGAACCTCGCCGAGACTCCAGTGCCACACCTTAGGGGGTGTCTGTCTCTTTTTGCTCAGTTCTCACTCCTCCTTCAAGGGAAGGTTGGAAGGTGGTCCTTTGTGGCTATCGAGTCATAGGCTATCGAGGACTTGATAGAACATTGATTTTGACCGGCATTCTTGCAAGTAGGGGCCGAGAAGAAACAGGTTCTGATATACTATAACAGTCTGTACATCGATTTCACAGCACAAATGTCGACTCCGAACGCTTACGTCAATGCAGGATGCTTCGGACGGGCCAAAGATGCCACACGTCCAGCTGGCAAAGCTCCAGCACAAATGTTTGGTGAGGCATGTTGGCCTCGGATGCTGGCCCCGTTTGGAGCACAAAAACAAGAACCGTTTGACCCAACTATGAGATTCATATGCCAAGAAGATTCAAGAAGGGCATTGAGGAGTGTGCTTCCAACTTGCGCAGCTTGCGCGCAACACATGTCCTACTCACGCACTTGATTCCGCACGCAGAGTCTGTTGCCCATGGGTTTTCAATGCTTGAAGTGCTTTCTTTCTCGATTCGTTCGTGAATTTGACTGCGTTGCCAGGTACACAGGACGTATGATTTACCGCGGCCTGTGCGAGGTGGGCATCTTGCAAGTTGTAGAATGTTGTAAGAATCTTGTAGATGCTCCAGGCCTTGCTTCAAGCACTCAGCACCCTAAAACGGTGTGGCAACAGCGTTTGGGCTCAGTCCTCCTAACTGGCCCAGGAAATTAATGATGAAATTAATGATGTACAGAATAGAGAGCCTGCTGTTAGCTAATGCTTCGCCGACCTGCGAGGTGGATGATATACATGCGGATGGAATCTTTGTCAAGAATAGCTCCGTCCCGAGACTAGATTCATTAGGTTCATTAGGTATGAAGCTACGTTGATATCAGGAAATCAAAAAGGTGGTCATTGGTTGATTTTGTATCATTCTGTTAGATGGCCCAGAGTCAATCCAAGGATGTACAGTCTCCCTTTGTGGCGACGCAACTGGCAACTTTATTTGCTACCCTATCAGCCATTTGGTTTGCAAGATTGCCTGCGAGATTTGTGAGGAAAGTTTGATACTTTCATGTGGGTAGAGGAAGGGATACGCTCAAATTGCGCAGTTTGGTTGGCTGACGCATTGCTGGAAGGCTTGTTCTCCAAGGCGAAAGGCTTCGGCAAGAGAAGCGCTTCCTGTGCAACTGGGGCCTTTGCGTTTTGAGGCGGCTGCTGTGACTTCGAATCTCATGCACCATGACTTTCGGCGATGTCAGTTGCTGCAGCGGCATTCGCTTTGGCGCCAGGGAGCATCCAGGCGGCGAAGAGAATTGGACTTCGGAAGCTGGCCTGGAGGCCCGCCGGTCTGCTCTTTTCCAAAGCTCAATCCTGCTGCGGAGACTTCGCTGACATTCGCTGACTCATGGAATGTCACAGAATTTGAGTATGGGAGGCTCATGTTGCCAGTGGCAAATTGCTGGGATTTGGTAGATCCAACACAGATTTGATTGGCTGTCACCAGGAGATTCGTCAGGAGCCGCTGGGTCATGGAGGTTCAAATGCTTTGCAGATTGCAAAAGGACAGAACATGAATGCTTAAATGTTGCAGCGTAATATGTATTGAATTGAACATGAAAGAATGCAGAATGAGTACAGATCATTGAGATAATTAATGTACATTCTCCCAGTATATGCTTGATAATGTGCATGTATACATACGTGGCAAGATGGATCAGTTCCTTCAGCATCCTTTAAGTTGTGTTTAGTCTTTGTTGGATTTGAACATTCCGAGGTTTCAGAAAGGCCCGTGTTCGATGGGTTTTGCAGGAGCTGCAGAACTTCGGCGGCAACAGCTTTGCAGGTGCTCAGTCTGATGCTTGATGACTTTCGCTGAACATGTCGTCGATATCATTCCCATGGGATCTAAATATGTCGTTTATTCAGAACATTTCATAACCAGCAGAACATAACTAACATAACTATTCCATTCTATTCCAATATTCCGATCCATTTGCTTCGGTCTGAATCATTTTGATCATGATGTGCACAGACATGCCAGCCTTGCACCACGTTCAGAACAGCCAGGTCTCACGCCTCTTCAAATGGCAGCGGCTTGGTCAATAGATTCAGTCCCTAATTCATCTGCAGACATGTTCAGAACATTTCAAAATGCAGATCGAGATGTTCTCTTGAGCTAGGCAAGGCAGCGAGTGGGAAGTAATTTAATGTAATTTATGTATATTAGTGTTGTTGGTCATGTTAGTCAACATATCTACATGCTTGGTTTTACAATGTCTTATCCACTGCTATGATCACCTCAAGAATTATTGCTGCTGCGTTGGCACCAACATCCAGCCACGAGCTCATTCCCTCGAGGAGAGGACGGAGAAGATCATTGGATGGAGCTTATTCGACCGTGATCCATTGAAGTCTTTCGATTTTGGCAACGTGACCTTGTTGGGTGATGCTGCACATCCTTTATTGCCATACGGCAGCCAGGGAGCAACCCAGGCGCCCTGGTCAAAATGGTCAAAATGCCATGTTAATCATGCTGTGAAGCAAGCCACTGCTCATTGCTTTGGCCCCTTGGCACTAAGATGTCGACAATGTAGACTAAGTCTCCTGGGAAATAAAGAGCAAGTACACTGACAGGTGAATCAGCTCATTCTAGGCTTGTCTAGATCCCTCAGATTCACAACTATTGCAGAAACAAAACTTACATTATGTGTACATGAATACACGTGTGTAAGGCAATGTATTTTTCTAAAAAAATGCACTGGAAACATTACTTGTGTTGCCGCATAGCTGACAGAATTTGGATTGCACAAACCGCAGCGAGAGGTCGCTTAGAGCAAAGCATTTCTTTTTAAATATATCAATTGAACTCAATTGATAGAATAATATTATATCCATTACGCAATAGTTTTGAAAGCAGGTTTCAAAACTATTTTTCTTCATATGTGCATATATACTTTATATTGGCACACTTTGCGCTATAGAGATCAAGTGTAAGTGTGTCACAATCAATACCAGAACGAGATCTTAAAATATTTACATATATATTTATATCCGCACATATGGTTCCTTTCTGCATTTGCAAACTAACATTATATTTTATGGGAACCGAACGTCATCGCCAATACCCAACGGTGATGTGTGATTTTCTCTGCTCTAGCTTTGGCACGAGTTGTCCCCGTTGTTTGCTTGCTTTCAAGAGAATGATGACAACGACACCCTCTGAATGATAGCACCTCCGAACTCACCAATGGCACTTTGTGATATTGTCGGCACCTGACGTTGCGCAGACACTTCAGTCAACTGCATCTCCATTGGGTTTGCAAGCGCTGCTGGCGTCCTTTCCGAATTACCACCTGACCTGGTTATGATGGCCAGAATATGCCAGAATGAACAGTCCTAAGCATGAAAAACCACTATGTCTTATTCAGCATGCGTTAACATGCAATGCTTCGACCACTGAGGTATTTTTCCTGGCGTCCTGTGGATCCTTTGGTTTCGGATGCTAAAGCAAGGATGTGCCATGTGTTCTGTGACATTCTGTGGCCCATGGCGTGACTTCCTAGCAGGTTCTCCTCCAAGAGGGAAATCTGGATCCGCAATGTAACAAAAATGCAACATATGGAACATCATATGGAACATAAAATGGAAATTCTGCGAAATGTTGACTATTGACCAATGGGACCAGTGAGGGTCCTTGGCCCTTCGCTATAGCAATTTGCGTGACAAGTTCGCAAGCGATGGGTGTACCGAGGGAATTGATCGGACTTCAGAACTGCAATGGGAAAAAGAGTCCTTCACCTTCACACTGCAGTTGAAGGGGTTAGTTCGGTTCATTGTGATGACTTTTGAATATGTTTGGCGCTTCATTGCTTGGCTGTGAAGGGATAACTTTCGACCTACAGAGTGTGGAGAACAAAAACCTTGAAGTCTCATGAGTATGAAACTTGCACATGCTGTGCCATGGTCAAATTCTTTTTTATGGGTTCAAGGGCAATTCTGTATGGCCTCTTCCCAGTATATTTATGTGAGTTTCATATCAATGTTATGTCAACTCCGAGAGAGACGATCTTGCCTCTTCTGGGCCTCGTGAGTGTCTTGACTGTTGCGATATGCGGATATGGCGACCTGCAAAAGTTGCTCCAAAAAGGAGCGAATGGCCAAACCCATGGCGCACAGCTGGAACAAACCGTTTTGCATCACGAGGACGACGACACTAATTTTTCTTCGAAATTTGATGCCACCCAGGGACACACTGACACGTTTGCGGTTCTGTCGCGGATGTGGCGTGGAGATTTGCCACATTTGGAAAGCTGGCTTCGGCACTACATCCTTCATTTGGCTGTGCAGCGTGTTTATGGCGTGGTGACCGACCCAGACGACCTCACAGACCTGAGAGCTTTAATCCTCCGTGCAGGATTCAGGGATCAAGTGAAACTCTTTTCGGAACCAATCAGTGAAGACAGTGTCAATACTGCCGTCTTCGACCCAGCCCAAATAGCTGAAACCTTTGTGTTGTCAGTGGACACTGATGAATTTGCAGTACTTCCCGTTGGTGAAAGTCTTCAATCCTTTACGGCATCAGAGCCGTTAGCTGATTTCTTCCAAATGGTATGGCGATATGCGCCCAGTGATACCATGGGGGAACAGTTCACTCCGCGCATCGGCATTTTGTGCAAGAATTATGGGAAACCCATGTTCCGCACTCGTAGATTCCAAAAGTTCAATAATACTCCCCACTTTATTTTTTGTGAACCTCCAAAGGAACTAGAGGAAGAGGGAATGATGGGAATGCAGATGTACTCCATGGACGAACGCAACTGCCGGAGGGCACAGAAGTCTTTAGCCCTGATGCATTTCTGGTATCGTGGTGTCTACGATGCCCTCTTGCGACAAAGTGCAGGACATACCACAGGCGATTTCTCGGACCGAAACACTGGGGTAGAGGTGGTACTGGATGAATTACGGCACGGGATTTTGCCGCAACGGCTGAAACACCTGGCTGTTGGAACTGTTTGCGAAGACTTACTGGAAACCACTACGAATTCAGAGAGGTCAAAGTTCCGCGAGATCTATGGCGAAGACAACACGTCGTTCCGTCTGGAAGTCTTTATCAACCAGACTGAAGCAATCGATCAGCTGGACTTTTTGGGAATCGATGAAGAACTCCGGATGAGAGCTGTCGAAAAGTACCACCAATTCAAAGCTGCTTTTGCCAAACATTTTGAGAAGATAGTTTGCGAACCTTTAAAATTCTGCACGGTTCCTATCACCCCTTCGATGCTCCTTGCAAAAAGCTTGACTGTGGAGGGGATGCAGAACTTTGATGAGCCTTGCAAGTTTTTTTTCTTCCCGGATTTCAATCACAGCGCTTGAAACACTGGGATCTAGCATCTGACTACCAGACTCAGAATGCAAAAGTGGCATAGGAGTTCTGAACTTCCCTTTGAAGTCGCGGCAAAAAGTGACGCGAAGGTGTCAAAATGTGTCATCATTCAGTCACTCAGTCTGAGTATATCGCAGTCTCTTTCCTCATTTGTGACATTGCCGCAGCTTTGAAGTACAAACTACGAGCGACAGGCACCTCGAGTGAGGGAATTAATAAGGCAATTCAAATGTGAGGAATGACAATCCGTAAAGACAACCAACAGCCCTGCTTCAGCAACTTGTATCAACTTGTTTGCCATGAGAAAGGTTGTCTCCAGTCCATTTGCTGATATTTGCTGTAGTGCTGGCGAAGTACATAGAACCAACTGACCATAGCAGACCCAAGGATGAATAGACAGAAAAATCCGTGGTGTTCAGGTGACTCAAAAACCAACACCTCGAAGTCTGCCATATCCAAAGCATTCGCAATTCTATAGCAATGTTCGAGAATTGTCCTTGATGTCAGTTTCCTCGCAATCCTCCCAACCGCGTCACATTTTGAGCCCCAGCCTCAGAAACAGAAGAATCACTAAGCTCTGAAGCACACCGATGCATCGATGCCGAATTGATGCCGAATCGATGCATCGGCCAGGCAGATCCAACAGCCCCACGAATGGCGATGATGCTTCGCAGGTGTGGCGAAGAGCTCCCAGGAGTGTAAAACAGGGTAAACGTCATCAGAACGTCACACACTTCGGGAATGATGGATGGCCAATTGGATGGCAATGGATGGTGATGTTTCATTGAAACGGAGGACATTCTTTATCTTCTTCTTTGTGTGGATATTGGGGAATTTTTGTGTCCTTACTGGTAAGTTAAGACCCACGCAGTAGTCATTGTCAATCCGTTGGTAGATTCTGGTAGCTGTTGCATGGTGCACCAGCCACTGAGAAGTAGGAACTACCTAATTGATCAACTATCAAGGATCAACCAGGCCCGGCATCGGAAATTTGAGCTTTTTCGATTGGCGTGCTGGATACACTAAGGGCATTATTGCTGCTCCTTGTTCAGCTTGGACTTGCTTCTTGGTGAGAATGTTGTGAATCACAGTCAGGTTGTCCTATAGCATCTATAGTTGAATTTATTCGTGCAACTACGGTATGACAGGATATGAACAGATAAGAGAGGTACTTGCATGTATTTGCGGTATTTGTGGGATTCATATTGATTGCATGTCCACAGTAGGTTTGGTAATGATGCTGAATTGAATTCAATTGAAGGTCTTGAAGGGGCAGCCACTGTTTTGAAGTTCGATCGCATCAAGGTCTCCGGGCAAAGCGATGGCAGCGATGCGAACTGGTCACCCTGGCCTCGAGATTCAACTAAGCAACTATCAAGTGGTATCACATGATATCAACTGATCACTGGCGAAAATGCGAAGAGCGTGTCCGCATGCATCTGCATTGTTCATTGTTCTTTGTCTTGAGTCTTGAAGAGTCTTGTTCAGGGTCCGGTGAAGATCAGAACAAGTCGAAGTAAGTAGCCTTGCAGCTTCACGAATCCCACAGGTTGTTTTGCTGTCATCCTTGGTGCCAGTTCTAGCCGCGAGAAGTGCTTGGAGATCCTTGCCCATGTCACTTCAGAGAGACAAAAGAAAGAGGCAGTGACAGCTGACACACATTTTCCCAAAGTGACTGGCATGACTGGCAAACTGAAATTTGATGTCCGGAAGAACGCACAGATGTAAGCAGCGAACCACTGCGACTACGTCAGATGGACAAGTGCAGACCAGTCCGGGTTTCAAATGGTTTCAATTCGGTAAAGCAGATGTGTTTCATTGTTGATGCAGGTGGAAGGTTTGGAGCTGATCGGACGTGCAAAGATCACATCTGAAAAAACCACACAGTCGCAGGCGCAGATGTTTTTGACCGCCAGAGAGAATCTGAGAGAAAGAAAGTTCTCCATACACGCAGAATATACAAGTGTTGATATATTTATCATGTCTTATCATAATTCATCAAAGTTGAAATAGAAAAACAGGATGCAATTTGAATCGTTTTGAGACATCCGTGAACTGTCGTGATTGCTTGTGAACATGGAGCAATTACTTGATCCACCGAGACAGGTATAGATAAACACGCAAGAAGATCCAGGAAGATACCAGCAGTTCGCGTAGTGCGGGGGCACTCTGTATATTCCGGCGCGCGTATTGTTCTACCCCATATATATCCTCGGAATATATGTATCGCATACCCTTGGGGTCTATAAAATGTAGATGCTTTACGTGCGTAAAATGCTGTTCCGGGATTCATTTGATGGAGGACGTGCTTTGCCGTCAACAAAATGCTCCTCCAGAGTTCCAACCATATTCAGCTACCAAATATTACCAAGGGTTCCTTCCGGCCATCACAGCTGATACAGAAACGCAAAATGATATAGATGGATGATACATTATGCATTCTATAGGGGGAATTCTTTGCAAAATGTTTCCCCTATCTATTGACCATGCTCTGAAAGGAAGCCGCGTTTTTTACCGGGAAACCGAAACAATTTTTATTTTCAAAATGTTTTAAGAGCATATGTTGGTTTGTATGGGCCACGCATTTTGTAGTGTAGAGGTTTTACATTCCCAACCCAAATGTACCATCATTTTTTCCAATAAATTACCGTAACTTCAAAAAACGACATCACAACAATGGGTTATTTCTCCTCATGTTAGACGTTTATTACATTGATGAAATTTGGTAACATAGCGGAACTCAAAAAATATTGAAGATGACCTGGTGTTTCCGCGTTCCCGGGAAATTGTTCGGAAAGGGCTCTACAAAATGGCTTTTCCGAGCGGGCGCAAAAGAAGTGAAAGGGCAGGGTGGGGGCATCTGCAATCGGAAACGGCATTCTGTAGAGATCCAGCTGGGGAGGTATAGCGAGCCTTCCGGAAAAAAAAACGGAAAAGGGTTTTTATAAACATATTTTCGAACAATTTCCCTACAAAATCTAACCCGTTAACGTTTTGCACACTGCATTTTTCAGTGGGAGTGGGTATCCTGAAGAATTTCCAAGCAAGGTTTTGATTTTGTAGAGAGACATGCTCGGGATCGTTTTAGAGGATGACCAAAGAGGATGCCTAAATTAAAGTTGTTTGATTTTGTAACGTTTTAGTTTTCCAGAGCATGGAATCCTGGAAGGTATGCCTTAGATTTTTCGAAATGTTTTTATTTTTTGTGGGAAAATATATTGAACCCCGAGTTATGTTTTCGCTTTATGCCTCTTGTCTTCTTATTTTCCCGGTTATCCTCTTGTGTTAACCCTGGCCTCACACCGGTTGCGGCGCAGAGTTCAGCTACACATATCCATGAGAAAATTCGGCCGGCAAATATATTGTTTTACATTGTGGAATTTATCCGGGCAAAACAACGAGAAGAGGCACAACAGTGAAGCATAACATGGAACTTCAAGGGAAGAAACCTTTGACGCACCCAGAAAGAGAATCACATATATTTGGACTTACGATATTTAAGGTATGAGCCTTTTTGGAAAAAAAACGATAGATGATTGCGTGCGTCCTTTCATGCCCCTGCGTTGCGTTGTCTCATAGCTTCATGTTTCTCCCCCATTGTTTTTCCAAGAATTTCCCGCCATGCGTTGCGCGTGGGGGATCATCACATTTTTCTTGGATGTTCAAGAAGCATGTCATGTGGTTAGGTGGAATATACTGGAATCAAAACAATTGACGTTGCCGCGCCCATAAACATAAGCAGATCGCTTAGCAACCGCCTGCGGAAAGGACATTTTATAGACATATCGTTGGCCAGAGTGGAGCAGTGTCTCCAAGAGAAGACCTTGATTGAAGAACCATTTTATAGAGGATAACTAGGTTGTTGCGCCGCTGCGCGATGTCCCGCTGCATGTCTTTTCACACGCTTTTCCCCACTTGCTGTCTGGATGGTGGTTGACAAAGGACAATTTTATAGACAATTTTGTTTATAAAATGCCTCGTAAAGTGTCCTGAATCTAACAAAGGGGACGCAAAGGGGTATTGCATCACATATCATCACATATGGATCACTTATGTTTAGCAACAGTATACGTTTGGTATATGCCTGCCATATGCTTGCTATATGCATGCCATGTATTGCTCAGGACAATACACGCCGGGTCTATATTGCTCCCCGGTACCAGTAGCAATTTGTGGGGGCAAAGCGGCGTTTTTTTACGGCGTTTGTGTTTGGAGGAGGCTGGCTCTTCCGCATTTTTTTAATTTTTTTCCCGGCTTTGCGGCTCCAATAAAATACGCCCCTGTTCTTGAGGGAACTTGCGTAAATCAGTGAAAAAGTAATCTGTATATATGGCCGGTAAATATTTAGCCCAAACGGAAGGGTATATACCAGGTATATTGAATATATATAGCCCCGCTAAGGATATAAGCGCTACCACCTGGGACAGGAACCAGAGAAATTCTTTGATCAGTGGTTTCGCCCAGCCGTCCGTGCATCACAACACTTCATCTGTCCTAAAACTTTTCATCTTTGAATTTTCCGCCACAACCTTGTGGATTGTCCGGTTTTAGTTGCAAATAATTTTTGAAAGAAAATTTGTGTATCTACATGCGCCCTTCCATTCAAAGAGTGGTGTGGTGATATAACATATTTTTATTGTGTTTTTATTCGTTTCCCTTTTTTGAAAATATGTATATGTATATGTATATATATTAACATCTATATTTGTTTATACATCTAGAATAAATTACACGATATTAACACACACATACACAAACACATGCGTATTATTCAAGTGACAATTTTTAACCAAAATTAATTTGATACATTTCAATCATCCCACCAAAACGTTTTGCAGACGTGCCCGTAACGGGCAAGACAAAAAGGGTATACAAAAGTGTTCCGTTGCAACCATGGGAAAGGGTTGCCATATCTGGGGCTGGCAAAATTGCGACCTTTTGCACAGGTGATGGGCGTACAGTTGTTTCGTACGGTCACACACGCGCTCCGAAAATGCGGTTTTCATTGGTACAAGTATGCTTGGGCGGTCAAACGTGGAACAAGCACATTGTTTGTGGCCATTGGTTCCGGGAGGTTTCCATGTTGTTGCATGTCAAACCACGCGTTGCAATCGCACATGTCTTCCGAGTCTCCCAAATGCCATTGGTTATCGAAATTTATTGAAGGAAATTTACACCTCAAACTTCCTACAGTATGGACAAATAAAAAAAAATGGAAGAGTCAGATAAGAGAAGAGAAAAACAAAATGAGGCACGCGAAGGAGTAGGAAAGTCGCGAAGCATAGTGTGTTTCCGATGATTTGTGGTGGCTCGGGACAGTCGAAAAGTAGGCTCGCTAAAGCGGTGGGTGCGGAGCCATAGGGCCAGATGAAAAATGAAAAATTGCACGCCATTGTGGCGCAAAACGCGTTTGCAAGTGAACATAAAAAGGTTCGGAACATTTTTGGAAGTTGAGATGTCGAAACGTGCACGCTGATGTGGCGGGAACACACCGGCTCCGGACCACTTTTGGAAGTTGAAATGTCGCAAAAGTGTGTGCCGTTGTGTCCCAGAGCAAAATTCTAAATCAAAAGTGAAAAAGTGCAGGGTTCGGATCATTTTTGGACGTTCAGATGCCGTTTTGCGCGCCAGGCGCAAAAGCGTGGGTTTTGTAGAATTTTACGTATGGCCACCACCACACCACAGTACACTACACTACACCGCACCGCACCGCACCACATTACACTACACGACGCTACACTACACTACGCTACGCCACGCCGCCCTACACTACGCTACCCTATAAAACACTACACGACGCGACACGACACTACCCTACACTACACTACGCTACACCCCGGTACACTACAGCACGCTACACTACATTACACGACGCTACACTACACTATAGCAAACGAACGCAAACGAATTACAGGACAAGAATTCCTCTTCACTAAATTACGCTGCGCTACATTCAAATAATTCAAATACATTAAAGAAAATACATTACGCTACATTACATTACTTAAGGCCACACCAGATTACATTCCATCAATTACAACAATAACTTGGTTACTTTACACTATTTTACGCTACACTACAACTACAACTGCAACCACAACTACAACTACACTTATTACATTAGGCTATACTAATTACATTGGGCTACGCTAATTACATTACAGTACGCCACGCTACACTACACTACACTGCACTACGCTACGTTACGCTACGCTACACGGCACTAACTGCGAATACATGTAGAAGTACAACTACAACTACAATTAGGTTGCATTGCGCTATGCTAACTACATTACACTAACTACACTACGCTCCAGCACACTGCGCTCCACTACCCTTAGTTACAGACACTACATTCAATTACACTACACGCTACACTACACCACGCAAAATTAACTACAACTACAGCTGCAACTGCAACCATGCTACTTTACACTGCATTACACTACGCTTGGCTAGACAACACTACACTGCACTACGTTACATTACATTACACTGATTTTACCACCGCCAATTCAATTAAAATTACACTAAGTGCATTACACCACAACCACAGCTCCACAACACGACAACTACAACCACAGCTGCGCTACGCCACGCTACATCCAGCAGTTGTGGGTGAGGTGACGGGCCAGGTGACCATTGCAACCATGGCAGCCGTTCCAAACAAGACAATTCCAACCACCTTTTGGTCCGTCAGTGGGTTCACTCTGCCATCCCTCATTCACAACAACCAAGTTCTCCTACAGTATAGGTTACCTATTGAGTTGTTGAAACTTCCGTCACCGCCTTGTGTGGTACTACTGGTTCTATTTAAGTCCATTGGCAGCCGCAGACCTTCCCCACCATGCATGGTGCCATTTGTGTCCACTACAACTATTCTTTAATTTGTATCTGTCCCATTGGCCAACCAGAAAAATCACTGAAGACACACAATCCTTCCAAGGGCAGGTGAAACCTTACACATGTCCATGCCAAAACATTGAAAGCCACAACCTTGTTAACAATCCATGCTGGTGGCGTGTGTTTAGCAATGTTGTTATTTTTGGCGGAAACGAGTCATAACTCAGACAACCAACTATCATCAGTCACAAGCAAACTTTCAAGAAACATGTGTTGCATCACCGGGTGCCGTGCTGTGCCTTGTGATGACATTTCTAAACACCGTTTTGCTGCAACAAATTGAGATCAGCAAGAACAAAGGAGGACCGATTATGAGAACTCATGCGGGCTGAAATCTTCAGTATTGCGCCGTGAGATTTGTTGGTTCAAAAAGGCTGGTACTATATAAACATTTTGCAGCCATCACGGAAACTGGAAAAGATCAAATAGTCAAATACGTTATTTGAACTCCCAATGTGCGTTATTTGAACTCCCAATGTGCGTGTGTCTAACTATGAGATCCATGGTGTGATTTCAGGCACAAGAAGCGTACGGGCGGGGCAATGTGGCAATGCCAACACGAAGCCATGGCAAAAAAAGAATCGACAAACCTGCGGCAAAGCAACCCAGGAAAAAAGATGCCACTGTCAAGCAGGACCTGGTCATGCTGTCGTCAAAGCATATCTGGATCCCAAAATCCATCATAAATCCATCGTTTGACGCGCATCGCCATATTGCGTGTGGAGAGGCAGATGTAGTTACTGAACGTGTTTATGACGGTTTTCTTTTATTACGTTTTTTTAAAATATAGGCGCGCCGAGGTACATGTTGTTCTTATGATTGGCGGGAGGACAGCGCTCCCAAAAGAAAAACGTCGCTTCCAGCCAGCCGCTTGCAACTGGCAGCCTGTGCGGCTGCTACCTTTGGAGCTGCCGGAGCTTATTGGTTTTTGGTCGCACCATTGATATGAATCCCACCTTCTAATTCTAACCCCACTCAATGGTTTTTAATTTGTTACAACCTCTACTTGACCATGATTTCTCGCAGCGGTTTGTTATTGGGGGGAATGGGATCAATATTTTCGCGCGGTTCGAATTCTCATCTCTGGATATGTTGATATGGTCAGCGCAACTATGCTACTGAGGGTCTGGGCAGCGTTGTTGCCAAGCAAGGTGGACTTGAGGTGCAAAATGTGGGTCGTAGCTGGTAGAGTTTCAGTGTGCCTCAAAAGAATCATGTCATCAAACATCTCAAACCATATCAGCCATACCAAACCCAACAAGGTACATGTGGTGAATTGCCAATGGCCAGTGCTGGTATAGAATCCAAGAAATAAAGAGAACAACATGGTAAACCCAATTATCAATCAGCACCACCACTGCCATAAATACATTGTGCAAATCATCCACAATTGGTAGATGTGTATTGCTGAGCTTGCCACGTCATCAAGTTTGTTTGGGGTCCTATTTGTTAATTTGGTCACTGTGATCGCGATGGCCATGGGGAATGAGTGCATACGCATAGGGAGGCTGATTGCACATACAACACATCCAT